CAAACAAGTTAATAGTACACAGCGTTGCATAATTATAAGACCGCCACATATTAACAAGTTTTGAATATTTATTTTTAAATTATTTAATTGTAATTGTATTGCGTGCAAAGGAAATTGCTTTTGTTCTTCGTCTTTCATCAAAGTTCAATTATAATTTTGTATCAAGTATATACCTCGTTTAGCAATATCATTAACACATTTACTTAATACTCTTAATCGTCTCTAAGACAACAAACTTCAAGGTAATTTTTATTCAGTTTTTATTTAAGTTAGTGCCCTACAAGAATATTTCATAGAAAAAACTTGTATCCCTTTTTTGTGACTTTTTTAAAACGGTTCAAAAGTTATAACATTTTTAATTAAAACAAATTCTTTTACATGTTATCTGCATAGAAAATTTCAAATGTCCACCGACACCTTTTCAAGTAGAAATAAAAATTTGTCCAAATGGCAGAGTTTTCTTCTCAGTAAATAGATAATTTTAAAGCCACAAATTCGCTAGGTTAGTTGGGTCACTCCAATATATATATATAAGGATTACTCGTTTAAAGTAATTAGAATAAGTGGAAACATTTCTAGGAAATCACCTACCCCAAAAACTGTCTGGATCCGCCGCTGGGGCTGTTTTATTTTTTATTATGTACTTGGATGTAAAATAACACATTTTCTAAAATTTGTTAAGAATACTTGCGATCCAATGCAACGAAAATACTTGTTTTAAGCCATCTTACAAATGCTTTTATCAAGTTAAAAAATCCCAACACGCAACTATTGCCACCGATAAAACTTATACATATCTGTCAAACAAAATGGCATATGGTAGTCAATAATTTTCGCCTGTGAAGACGCGTGGTTAGCTAATCTTTCAGTGTTGTAAAGGGTAATACGGCTTTCCCACTGCAACGTGAATTACTTTGTTCGCTCCACCAATTACGATCCCGAATTACCCCATTCCCACGGGCACATTCTTAATTCGGTTTGACATTTCTCTGATTTTGAAATTGGAGGAGAAGCTCGGCCAAACACTAACATAAATATGTGTAAACGCCAATCTGTTATTATTATTAATTGGATCTGAATTACCAACAAATGAGGTAATTCGCTCTTAAAATGTTTCATGGCGAATTACGTAAATTCGAAGGGTAATTTGAGTGTGAATTATGAATGAGAGAGCGAATTACGTAATTGGGGTGCCGTGGTAAAGCTGTATTATATACTTGTATTACTGATTAAGGCTAAAAGTCGTTTACACTGTTCAATTTTCAAAGGCGGTTAATTGAACCAAAAGTTTACATCATTTAACTGAAAGTCGAAGTTGAAGTTGTGTTGTTGTAGCGTCGCCACAGCCTTTTAAATACAATGGTTGTGTACGATTAGGAAATAATAATATTCTGAACGAATTTTTTTGAAAATTTCATCACTGTTATAAACCTTGGAAAGGAGGACAAGGTGGACATTTTCGCTCAAAAGACGGACAGAGAAGGACAATATTTTTGAGGGGAGGACAAATCATGTTTGAGGAGGTCAATCCTCCAATTTTAGACAGAGCAGGTTATTCCGTTGACAAAGAATATTATTTTTTCGCATTGTGTAAATAAAATTAAATCGACACACACATAAATCTGTACATAGATCCAAGATTACATTTTATTATGGCTCTTGACAATCAAATTTACGTTAAGGACTATTTTCTTTTATTAAAATCCGCAACTAAATTTTAATAGCACATCACCTCGATGGTTTCTTCTTTCGAAAATTGCTATAGATTAAAATTTGCAATGCTACATCGTTATGCGTATTTGAAATACATAATTACTTTACACATACACCTACACCTCTACACAAGATAGAGACCGAGATCGAGATTGACATTTGCAATAAAACCACTATAAAAGTGTTTAAAAATAGAATGAAAACGATCACATTGACCAGGCGCAGAAGAATAATTTTTTTGCATTGGCCTTCGCCATCGCCATCGTCAGCGTCATCGCCATGGCCATGGCCATCGTCTGCGTCTTCGTCATCATCAGCAGCAGTGCCTTTAACTTGACATAAAAGAATATTTCGCTATCATGCCAATATCAAGGAGTGTTGGACATTACGACAGCACCAGCCAGCGTGAGTGCACCTATTTTTTAATATTACGTTGCGTTCGTTGTTGGCCATTCATTTGAAATTATCTTTTAAGCATAAAGGTACTCGTACATATATCCATACATACAGTCATACATAAAATTGAAGAAGACCATGAAGAGTTTTAAATGAACAATGAGAACTACCAGAGTTCAATTCAGAAGGCATAGTAGTACTCTCTCGATCATACGCACATGCCAACGTGAGTAGCTGTGGCTGGAAATACGAATGGATACGGGTACGCAAACGAATCGGGCACGATTGTCCGATCGCACGAGAGGCCATAGGCGGCAAATGCATTAACCCATGCAAGAAAGCTAAAGATATTTACATACATGCATATATAGTCATAAGTCATAGTCATAAATACATAAGTACATGCGTATGTATGTATGTATATACATATATTTTTTCCAAACATAAAAGCATTTACTAGCCCCACTAAGTCAACGTGTATTAATGTAAGTTGGTATATTGGGTGCATGTCTGTATGGGTGCATGAGAGTGACTATGCGCGCATGCGTCTACTTTTAAAACTTTACTAACTATGAAAAAAACTATTTCCGACCACAAAACCACAAAACGTGATACAAAACAGAACAAAGCGGGGGAATTAACAAAAAATAAGCTATGCAGCAGCAGCAGGAGTAGTAAAGAATCCCATTGGAACGGAACATCACTGCTGGCTGTGTGCTAAGTTGATATTTTGCAGCATAATGCATTACAGTGACGAGGAAAGCACGAACAGTGGATAGCTTGCTAGAGTGTGAAGGAGATGAATGAAGAGGGGGAGGCAAAAGGAGAAGGGCAAAATAGAAGTGAAATGAAGAGAATATACAATAAGATAACATAAGATGAGATATGATAACATAACATAACGTAAGATAACATGACATAACGGTAAAAGTATCAAACCAAGTCATTACCTAGGCGGAAAGTTTAAAATACCAGGGGGTGCGACTTGACAGGAACCTAGACTTTGAACGTGACATCAAAGGTGAAGCTGAAAAGGCTTGAAAAACAGCAACCACTTATGTGGGAATAAAAGGTCCGTCAGCGGAAATCCGACGACTAATAGGCAGGGTGATGCTACCACAAATCTTGTATGCCGAAAATTGAGCAGTGCTTAGTCGAGTGTGCAGAAATCTTGTGCTAAGGTTATAGCCGTAACAAAACCCTAAAAAAATAGATGTATATGAAAAGCAAAACTTAAATTGAGATAAGAGAAGAGATGAGGCGAAAGGAGATGAGATGAGACGATAAGAGATGAGATGGATCAGATGAGAGAAGAATGACGATAACAGAGATGATGAGACGAATTCAAATCTTCATTTTAAAATTTGTGTTAAAACGAATCTAGCGAGTTGAAATATTAATTTAATTTAGTTTTTCGGACTGAGAAGATAATTCAAATTAGAAGGAGGTTCCGAAAAATATTCCTTGTTAAGAAACAAAAAAATTCGCCGAAGTTGGCACAACGTACATTTCTACGACAACTGCTACTACGTACCAGGATGACAGGGGATTTACTTGAACAAGTCCGAATTCTTCCAATTGTTCTTGATTCCAGAAGCAACAACTTGCAACAGGGTCGCTCCGCACTCTTTCCGCTTCGGGCTGGCCAGAAGCCCATAAGTACTTCGGCTGCCTTCGCTAGACCTTACTTTGGATAAGTGCAAAACGAGCCTTACAAATACCTTTTCTGGCATTAGGTCCCACCGGGAGTGAACACACACTGTTTGTAGCTACTTGTTGCTCAAGCCATACGGTAAACATAGCCTCCACGCTGCGCAAGCCACGGATGCTACCCAGCTCCACGTATCCACGGAGCTCTCCCGAACACCAAACCTCTTCTTGCCTTTGCCCCCTGCCCCTCTAAAAATTTGATTACGCTCCAACTCTCGTGGGAAGATTAACCTGCAGCTTTGATATCTCACAAGATCTGCTCATTGCGTTAGACCATAATTTGGTGTCACTTTGGAGCGTGCTCTAGTTTATGCACACAACGGGAGTAGGCATGGGGCTACCTCGCACCTTGTTGCAGCGGTAATCGCAGCGGTATAAGCAGCGGTAATCGCCGCCCGCGTCAATGGGAACTTCCTTAAAGAATCGGCAATTGGTCAACCGACATAAACGTAAGCAGTGGGAAAGGCACCTGGTGTTAGTATGCTAGTAAGCTCCTTGCCCAACTCGCCGAAGCACGACGGCAGAGTGAAAATTTCATTTGGTGATTGCATTCGGTGGATAAGGTCGATTAATCAGAAGGCTGTAAAAACTGTAGATAACACTCTCAGTGGTGCAGCCATCGAGATCGAGTTCCGTCTTACTGGAACCGAGAGCATGTACACACTACGTCCGATAGTCTCTGTACTCCAACTTTTACAACAGATCGTCAACGACTATCAAACAGGATAATATGCACCAGAGAACTTATATACATACCTTCATCCATTTTAAAGCGCCTAGTTTTTTACGCACCACTGTATGCCATGTACATACACCCGGAATCTTACGATTCTCTTAGCACTTCCTTTTTACCAATATTTATTTATGCCCTATGTTCAGACGCCACCGCGTTCACCATAATCACCAGCACCACCTTCGCCAACGAATGGTCTTAGTCAACGCGCATTGATCTCGCGTGAATTCTTCATGGTTTAGCGCTAAGTGTGTGTGTGTGTGTGTGTGTGTTTGAGGGCACGCACGCTGTCCACAGTTCGCATATCCATTTATCCGCATATCCGCCGAAACAACAGCCAGCACAAGCAAGCCAACCTGGCCTGTCCGATCGCCCGATTGTCCAATTGTCTATTTGGAACTTCTTGAAGTCAACCAACGAACTTCATTCTTAACCTTAGCAACCGTGAACTTGATTAAAAAGCATTTCGCACATCACTCAGTTCACCAAACGAGCGCCAACAAGCAACGAAACAAAAAGGCAAAGATGCGTGTGTGTGTGTGTGTGTTTGTGAGCCTCGTGAATGCTGTGGAGCCAGCCGCAAGACATAGAGCAGCGCTGGCTGGCCCAAACAACGCTCATTGGATCGCATCACATTTGTAGCCATCCCAATTGTTACCTGTCCTCAAAGAACAACAAATCTAAATGGCTTTGT